ATTTGATGAAGCAACAAGTGCTTCTTCAAGGACCCTATAGCAACGGACTCTACCCCCTCCCAACTAGCTCCGCATCTTCTTCGTTCCAAGCATTGTCGGCCGCCTCAAACAAGCCTCCGTCATGGCATCAAAGACTCGACCACCCCAATGACAGAATTCTCAAAACTATTTATGTTTCTAATCACCATCTCAATATTGACAAACATTTGTTTTCTTGTTCTGCCTATAATGAGTCCAAAGGTCGTAAACTTATTTTTGAAAAATCTGTAAATCGTTACCTATCGATTCTTGATCTGATTCATACCGACGTCTGGGACCCCACTCCGGTTTTATCTGTTCAAGGGTAAGGGTATAGGTATTATGTTCTCTTTGTTGACAATTTTTCGCGTTTTACCTGGATATTTCTTATGCACCGTAAGTCGGAAGTCACTAATATTTTTATAAATTTTAAAACTCGCATTGAAAAATACACATCCAAGCAAATTAAGATGTTACGTTCTGATGGTGGCACAGAGTTCGTTAATACCAATCTTCGTAACTTCCTTCAAACCCATGACATTACGCATCAGATCTCTTGTCCTTATACCCCCGAGCAAAATGGGGTCGCCGAGCGCAAGCATCGGCACATTATCGAAACCACCAGGACTCTGCTATCTACGGCCTCTATTCCCTACACTTACTGGCCAGAAGCTGCTCTTACATCTGTGTATTTAATAAACCGCATGCCTTCTCCCACAACTCAAAACCTTTCACCCTTTGAACTTATGTACAAAACTCCACCTGATTATAGTCATCTACGAGTTTTTGATTGTGAGTGCTTCCCTCTCATTCCTTCCCATAATCGTCACAAGCTTCAACCCAAAGACAAATCCTCTATTTTCTTAGGCTATTCTGACACGTACAAGGGCCACAAATGTCTTGATAAAGACACTAACAAAATCGTTATCTCTAGGCATACCTCCTTCAATGAGAGTTCCTTTCCATTCTCTCATACTATTTCATCTAAAGGCAATTATGTCAATGACACAATCTCTCCCTTTCTGCTTATACCTACATCTGTGACTAGCTCTTCGCCCACTATCATCAATTCACCCAAACCCACATCCAACTCTATGCAAATCGAACCTCATCCGTTCGTTGCATCTACAATACCTTCCACTAGCCCCCCTCAACCGCATAACATTCCAGCTTATTCATCGCATCCCATTCGCCAGGACCATCCTATGATCACCAGAACTCAAACCGACTCATTAAAACCTACTACTCGTCTTAATATCTTACACACCCACGTCTCATCCGACAGTCAGCCTGCGCCTACTAATTATACCGACGCTATCAAACAACTCGAATGGCGTAAGGCTATGGCCTCGGAATTTTTCGCCTTGCAACGACAAGGTACCTGGAGCTTAGTTCCACCATCTCAACACGCTTTTGTCTTAGGTTGCAAATGGACGTATAGAAAAAAATATCATGTGGATGGATCCATTGCAAAGCACAAGGCTCGCCTTGTTGCACTAGGAAACAACCAAGAATTTGGCCTCGACTACACGGAGACTTTTAGTCTGGTAGCCAAACTACGCACGATTCATATTCTTCTTGCTATCGCAATACACCATAACTGGCCCATTCAACAACTTGATGTCGCTAACGCATTTCTGCACGGCACCCTCAATAAAACCATGTTCATGACTCAACCAAAAGGCTTTGAGGATGCGTCTCATCCCGAATACGTTTGTCGACTTCATAAGACTCTATACGGCCTCAAGCAAGCTCCGCGCCAGTGGTACAAAACTTTTAGTTCACACCTTGTATCTCTCGGGTTCACCCATAGCAGAGCCGATCCTTCTCTCCTCATATACAGTTCAAACAAAGTCAAAATCTTTTTTCTCATATACGTCGACGATATACTAGTTACTGGAAATGACATACAAGAAATTTCCTTCATGACCAACAAGCTTAGTGTAAGATTCGACATGAAACAGCTTGGCGAAGTGCACGACTTTCTTGGCATCAAGATTGAGCATACCGATATTTTTTCTCCCAAAAGCTATATGCTCAATCTATCCTTCAGCAAGCTCACATGGACAGCTGCAATTCCCTCTCAAACCCAACCTCTGCCAAGCTTCCCGCATAATTCACCACTGATCCCGTACTATCTGATCCCATGGTCTACAGAAGAATCATAGGCTCCCTGTAATACCTAACGCTAATCATACCTGATATAGCTTTCAATATCAATCAACTTTCACAACATATGCATCATCCTCTTCCTCAACACGTCTATCTTCTAAAATGATTGCTTCGCTATATCAAAGGTACATAGGATTATGGTATTCCTATTATTAAATCTAATCTTATTCTTACCTCTTTTTCAGATGTTGATTGGGCTGAAGACCCTATCTCTCGGAAATCCACATCCGATTATTGTTCCTTTCTTGACAAAACTCACATATCCTGGACTATTAAAAAGCAACACATTGTGTCAAGGTCCTCCATGGAATCTGAATATCGATCTCTAGCTGCTCTTACCTCAGATATAATCTGGTTGCGAAGACTTCTTGCTGAATTCGACATACCACAAGATCAACCTACGGATATGCATTGTGACAATACATCTGTCATAGCACTAACCAACAATCCGGTGTTCCACGCTCGCACAAAACATTTCGAGATCAATCAAAAATTCATTAGGGACCATATTCAACATAACAACATTCGTCTCCTACCAGTAAGTACGATCGATCAGCCGATCATGTTGTTGACATATTCACCAAACCGTTATCCACATCGAGGTTTCATCAACTACGGCTCAAACTGACGGTCATTCAAGACCCATCAGTTTGCAGGGGCATCTTAGAACACAAATCTATGTAACTTTTATTTCGGCTAGATAGGTGGCAGCCTCTGATTGGCTGAGCCATCCTTACGTCTTGTCCTACATCTATATATAGCCATCTGCTCTGTTCTCTCCGGCATATAATAAAGAATTGCTACTTTGCCTTCTTGCATTCTTTCTTCACTACCGAATCACTCTTTCCTTTTCCAGTTTTCGTTTTTCTCTGTTTTTCAATTTCCAACTTACATATTGCCCCTAGTTATGAGTGAACTAAGGATAAAATGTCCAACTAAGACTGAATGAGCTCGATGGTCTTGACAACTTAAAAGTACAAGCACGACAAAATTTTGAGCATTATCATTCTCAAACAATGCAACCTCATGACAAATTAGTTCAGCCTAGAACTTTCAAGTCATGAGACAACATGCTTGTCCTTCAAAAGACTATCATGTCACAAAATTGAAGAGGTGAAATTATTGAGCAAATTGGAAAACCCCTTTTATGATTGATGGGTGGTAAAAAAATATTATTCCTGAAGCGGCAAATTAATGGGTCGTATGTAAAAAAATATTAGTCTTGAAAAAACAAATTACCAAATTGAGCTATTTCGTATTATTTAATGGGTTCAATGCAACAAACCTTTTTTTCGCATAGTTCCACGATTTATTCAAACCAAAGCAATAATCAAAATTTTACCCCCAATTGGGCTATAAAGCAATCCCTAAACATAATTGTATAATTTCTATGAATTTGATATTCAAGTTGTTAAATTAGGCTACCTACTATCAACAACAAATAAATACAACAGTTTATCATCTATCATATGGTTTTATCACTTAAGAAGTACAAGATGTACTTCCAAATAAGACTTGATTTAGAAGATGGCCAAACTTCACCCATCGATTTACTTCACCAATTTAATTTCCTTAAATAAGTATAAACATAGTCCAATATATCAAAACTAAACATTCTATCCTTAAAAAAAAAACATTTAAATGCAATTCTAAATTGTATATCACCCTATAAATTTTCTTCCTCGGTTCAGCTCTAAGTTAAAATGGAGAAAAAGAATTCATGTAGCCGATCCCACAGTGGGATAAAAACTTATTGTTGTTGTTGGTTCAGCTCTAAGTTAAACTTAGTATGGTTATCAAAACCCAAATTTTTATCACCATTGAATCCTATACTATTAAATAAATATTTTACTAGTTGGGTCAAGATCATCAAACTCATATATTTTTTCACTAATTGGCAGTATATAGTAAATATAGACAATTATTTGTTAGTTGATGCAAAAGTATATAGTAAGCATTCACTCAAAGTAAAATAAATTTTAAAAGTAAATTCTTTTAGCTTGTTGAAAACATCTCATCCATAAGTGTTGGAAAAATTACATTTTTTTTCCAACTCTCAGCTAAGTCATCCATCAACTAGAGCAGATTCGATGGGTGCACAGGCACCAGTAGCTGCTGAGCTCGGGGGTTATCAAAATCTCAAAATTAAATATTTTCAAGCTATTTCCATGAATTAATATCCACATTGAAGTCACCAAAAATCTGTAGCTCCTCAAAAAAAACAACTGTCGAGTTGCAATAGAAGGATGGTCTTCTCCAACACTAATGCATTATATTCTCCTACACTAATGCATTATATAGATCCAGCAGGTTCGGTGGAATACAAACTAATTATTTAACAAATTTTTCACTAAATAATAAACAAACAAAATAAGGACTTCCTTCCTTTGAATCTATTGGGTCTATAGAATGTGTTAATGTTGAACGAAACCAGCCTTCTACCATACACAAATGATGTTTTCTTTTAAAGTGGTACATAAAAATGCAATAGATCCAAGAAAAGAGAATCCGTATGTTGCTTGAACAGCACACCTCCTTTATCTGCAAGAGCGAGTGATAATGATAGTCCACATATGGAACACACTAAAGATTTATTAAGTGCTTTTTTCTAGTCAATATGTTGCTTGCACACCCAGATGATCAAGAGCAAGTGGTTCAATCACTTGGCCTTAATTTCTAATCACTATATGTACATGATTCTCTACAAATCAAGGCACAAAGAATTTCTAGCATCATGGTTGGATATGATGTCCATAGCCTTTTTGTGATACAAGAGTTCTTAATCCAACTTTTAACTGTCAGTAAACATAGAATCAACAAGGAATAAAGTATCCATGTGTACGTTTAAGTACGCATAAAATAGTTCAACCTGAGGTAGAGGAAGATAAACAATAATTATTATCAAGCTTATTGCGCTTGTGCAAAGACCTTTAAGTATAGTCCACAGATTTTTTTTTAGGGTTGCCATGATAATAAGTCAGATAAAAAGACAAAAATAAACAGAAGTCTGGGCGTCCAACAAATCCAAACCAGATATATTACTATGCAAGAGAATCCTTTTCTGTTGCTTGAGCCAATAGTTCTTCTTTCATCCTCCTGATCTCCCTTTCTCTTTCAAGTCTCTCTTGCTGAAGGAGGAAGAGTGGAATAAAGGATCAGATCAAAGTAATTAGTCATAGCTTAAAGAAGAAAATATATTTAGCTAAAGGACATATAGAAGAATATCCTGTTCCACAAATATATTCATTAAAATGAGGTAAATAATAACTAGGAAAACATAACCACCTATGATTTGGGATTAACATGTAACTTTACACAATTGCAAATTGATTATGTTCTAATTTCAAATGAACATCCAAATTGAAAAGCGTAACAAATATTTAAATGGAAAATTTACATCAACTGCTTCACAGCATATGATTAACAAACGCACAAAGTGATTTATATTCAAAATTTCCTTGCATGAAAATCCTATTAACTTGCATCTAATTTAATCACAGCCTTATAAAGTTTTGCCCTTTCACTATAGTTGGTTTCTTTCATCATTTATTGTTTATTGACCATCAAAAGTACATAAGGTTCCCTAAGGCTGCGTGGAAGAAGAGTGGTTTATCCCAAATGGGTAAAACACTGCCATCTCTCCATTCCTACACTAGAACCCAGCTCCTAACTCTTCTCCACTAAGCTTTCACAATGGAAGCTGGGTTCTTTATAGCTAAAAATCTCAAAAAATTGTCATTATGAAAATTAGGTGAATATAAAGAGTAACTTTTTATCACAACAAAGGTTGCGAAGGCAAACAATAAAGTTGCAAGTGCAGGAAAACAAGAATTTCTTCGGGAGCCAAAATAAATGGCTGGAAACCAGCATAAAACTTGGAAACATCAAATGAATTTAACACGTAGTTCATGCTTTTTGGGTAAGCAGTTTTTGCATCCATCCAGTGACTGAGAAGTAAAACAGTTGGCTCTAATATATAAATAGAATGCTAAACATAAGTGATTTGGTACATAAAACTTTGATGGGGTGGAGAAAAGGATGCTACTATTGAAGCTTACATTTGCTATAAGAAAGATAAATTATTGTAAAGGGGTAAGAAATAGCTTTTGACGATTTATGTAAAAAGCTAAGTACTGAGAGAGTAGAGAAGTAGATACAAAAGGCTTAAAGCAGGGGATATGAAACAGAGATTTTGATAAGTTAGATGTTCTAGTGATGTGAAACAATATGCGATGAACAAGAATTTCCTTGGCGAAATTAATAAAGGTGATGAAATTAATCTTGCTAAAAATAAATCTTTGCTTGCTCAAGATTGAATTAAGAAGTTAATGTAAGATTTAGTAAGGGAAATATATTACATGTAGAGATTACGGTAACTTGCAAAATAACAACTAAACATTTAGATAATGCAAATAGCTAATGATAACAAAGCCCCAAATTTAAAATCTAGATCGTTCACCTTGAGATCCGTCACTCCTTTTGAAAGTGGTGGCTAGCGGAGGAGAATCGAAAGTAAACTTAGCAACGCCACTAATAGACAAGTGATCTTGAGAGGACTTGTCGCCAGGAAGGAAGCCGGGTTCGAAGGAGCGGGTGGACGGCCGTCAATGATCCACTCGGAGTCTAGGCGTTGTTTGTCGATGACGTGTATGAGCGTCGGTAGGATTCGATCCAAGTAGGCTCCAACAGTATCTTGGTCGGACTCAAATCCCGCGTCGAAGAACGGCGATCGATGGATGTCGAGGTTGCCGTGAGCGTCGAACACAAGTCCCCATTCAAGCTCGGGGTCCGCCATGCATGGTGGGAAAGGGGAATGAGGACAAAGAGTACTTTAAAGAGTTAAATTCATCTTAAAGAATCAATATGATTTTATACCAAATGGATCCATTGTAGAGGTTGCTTTTTGTTAAGGAAAATAATGATCAAGTATATAAAGAAAAGAACGATCTCCATATGTTTTCTATTGTTTTGAGAAGGAATGAGATAAGTACCACAAGAACTTTTAAAAAAAGTGAGCATTTGAAGTAGTCATGGAGTAACCAAAGTCTAAGTAGTCATGGAGTAACCAAAGTCTTCACAACCACAAAAGGTTTAAATCAAGAAACGATATTAAGTCCATTTTCTTATAAAGATTCTTCTAAAAACATTTAATATATATTTTAGTGCATCTCACTTGCATAAGAAAAATTGTTTTATAAATAAAATAACATTAAAATAAAAGAACTGTTAAAAAAATAAAGAAGTTAGGAATAGTATGACAAAAATTGAATATGATTCATAATTTTAGTGGATATGAATTGATAACTATCAATTAATATTGTTAGAATATAAAGGGAACACGTGTGTGACATACATACCACTTTATTTCATGCTATTTATATATTTAACATCCAAAACATTAATATTACATGCTTACCACTCATTGAACAAATTTGGGTGTGGTGCATGGAATGAAATATTAAAGTTTATAGGATGGTATGAATGATAAAAATGAATTATAGGAGTGATATATTTGATATTAAAGTTGTATATGGGTGATAGGCATGTGATATTAATATTTTGGGTGTTAGATATGTAAATAGCATGAAATAAAGTGGTATGTATGCAAATTTTCCTATAAAAATTATGGATCCACTATATAGAAGAATTAATATAGATGAGGGCATAATTTTTAAAGTTAATGTTGGGTGGTTAAATGCAACAAATATCTCAGAAATGCTATGTGATAAGAGAATGCCATGATAACAAAAGATAAATTTGTCTAATTATTTTATATGAATAAAAGTGTCGGACAAAACATAATACATTGATAACAAAGATAAATGTGGCAAAAATGAAAATGTTACCATGGATTTTGAAAGATGGATTGAGAAATGACTATATGAAAAGTATTGTAGAAGAAGAATTTATTGAAAATATAATATTTAAAACTAAATTTCGGTGATGAAGAGTAGTAGTGATAAGACAAAAATAAAATCAGCGCAAGGATTAACTGAAAAGAGGTAAAGCACACATAACATGTTCAAAAGCTGCCAAAAAAGTTTAAGCAAAATAGATCTAACGCCTGAAGCTGCAATCTGTAGGATTGAATGGAGAATGAAGATCCATAAAGCTGCCCTCAAACAGTTCAGATAAGCCCTATGATGATGATGATGGTTGAAATGGTTTCTAAGCAGAAAAGGGCTTAGAAGCTGAAATGGCCGAATTTATAACAACAGAACAGAAAAAGAAATCAACGAACTGAAATAAACGTATTATCGAAACCTAGTTTGTGTTCAATTAAAGCCTGGATCAAAACAAACAGCACAATAGCAAGCGATGCTAAGCAGAACAGGGAGAGATAGAGAGAAAGCAGAACCTTCTCGTCTTGGTGGAGGGCCATCCAAACATGGACCTTGTCCATGGACTCCCAGAAAAGGAAAGCCCCGAATACCATTGCAAAATAGGTGGCAACTTTGACCATCTTTGCGATGCGATTTCTTCGGCTAGTGCTCCTTTCCTGCAAGTTCAATGGGATTCCCACTTCTCTTTGCCTTAGGCGGGTAACTAGGTTTTGTTGGTTCCTCCCGTGTCCAGTGGCCGTGTACAATTACTGTTCAGCCCTTTAAAATATATCGGTCAAAAAATCAGGTTGGAAACTTGGCCGGGCACGAATCTCAAGGCAAAATCAGGATGGAAACTTTAAAAATTAAATCTGGGATCATTTGAACTACTATTTCAGCAAAATTACAGTCCAACTGAGCGTCTCGGAAATACAAATCCAACGACACAAAATTCAACTCAAACCAAGCACAAATGGGTTTGAATCAAAGACCCAAAGCGTTGTTGGAAGGTTCAAGCCATGATTTGGATTATCAAACGTTTTCCAAACATGACATGCTTATAGTCGAATCAAGTGGCTAGACGAGATGAATCCAACGAGCATAAGATCGCCGAATTCCAATATCATTAAGACCTTCAAATGTCTGATGAACGGTCCACGATCAAGGGATTTCAATATCGGTCGTCCATCCAAACCACTCAACATTTGCCCTTGATCCTCTTATTTACGGATCATGTCATCCTCAAAAAAATTATAAATATCCCCTCATTTCTCATAAGGGGGGATCCAATGAAGAATAAGAAGAATAAGATAAGAGAAGAAGAGTTGGGAAGAAATTCCTCGACCACCGCCGGAGTTCCGCCCGACTTTCAAGTGACGTCGGAGTTCGCAAACTTTCAAGTGACGCCAGAATTCCGCCCAACTTTCAAGTGACGCCGGAGTTCCGCTCAACTTTCAAGTGACGGCGAAACTCTGCATGATCTCCAAGTGACGTCGAAATTATGTCTGATCTCCAAACAACTCTAGAGTTTTGCCTGAATACCATCTAACACCAGAGTTCTCCCTGGCTGCAAACTGACTTCGGGCTTCTACCCGACGCTGGATCTCTGTTCGTCGCTAGATTTCTACCTAATGCCTTCCTTCTTACCTCCGTCGTCAAACAACGATCCTACCGACCTCTGTCGCCCGCCAACTACGATCATTCTGACTTACATCACCCATCGACTACGGTCATTCCGATCAAACGAACATGTCAACAATGACTATTTATATTACAACATATACTTCATATAATATAAATCGAGCCAAGGCCTTCCCGCTAAGGAAGGACCTCATTTGTAATCGACTGCAAATAATAGTGGATTCATTCAAACTAGACTAGGCCCCATTCTTTTTTCCCCTTTTCAGGAGTTTTCAACGTAAAAATTTTGGCGTCTCATAAATGTTACGCCCTCTCTCTTTACCTAATTGCATGACGAATCTTCGCATAACGCTAAGATGCAAAATTTTATATGTCTCTATCGCCGCGATAATACCAGGACACAACAATAATACATAACATTATTTAAACAGTTAATCTTAAATTAGATGATATACATAATTTTGTATTTGCTTTTTTTATTTAATGAGAGATAATTCATTGCATTAATTATACAATACTGTGAATAACTTCTAAAATCTCTTATTTATTTATTTATTTATTTATTCATAAAATATATATATATTTTTTCTAATATAAATACCGGACCACCCTTCCACAAACTTCAAAAAGTTTGTATAATAATAATTGGCCACCGCAGCCAACTTCACTTATTATTCTACTTCACTTCTAGTTGCGGTTCTGCGGGGTACTGCAAGGAGGTAGAGAGAGTATGGGGGGAGTGACCTCATCAATGGCGGCGAAGCTGGCCTTCTTCCCACCTAGCCCGCCTTCGTACGACCTAGTCACGGAGCCGGTAACGGGGCTGACTACGCTTAGTCGGTTCCCACACCGAGAAAATGTGGAGGTGATGCAGTTACCCACGCGACAATACAAACCCAACGACACCAAATTCAACTCAAACCGAGCACAAATGGGTCTGAATCAAAGATCTGAAGCGTTGTTGGAAGGTTTAAACCATTATTTGGATTACTAAACGTTTTCCAAACATGACATGCTTATAGTCGAATCAAGTGGTCCGACGAGACGAATCCAGCGAGCACAAGATCGCCGAATTTCGATATCATTAAGACCTTCAAATATCTGATGAACGGTCTACGATCAAGGGATTCAGTATTGACTGTCCATCCAAATCACACCCAACATTCAAGTGATGCCGAAACTCTGCCTGATCTCCAAGTGATGTCAGAATTATGTCTGATCTCCAAATAGCTCTAGAGTTTTGCCTGAATACCATCTAACGCCGGAGTTCTCCCCGCCCGCCACTGATTTCGGGCTTCTACCCGACGCTGGACCTCCGATCGTCGCTCGTTGCCAGATTTCTACCTGGCGCCTTCCTTCTGACCTCCGTCGTCAGACAACGGTCCTATCGACCTCTGTCGCCCGCCGACTACGATCCTTCTGACTTACGTCACCCATCGACTACAGTCATTCCGACCAAACGAACATGTCAACAGTGACTCTTTATATTCCTACAATATACTTCATATAATATACATCGAGCCAACACCTCCCCCCTAAGGAATGACCTCATTTGTAATCAATTGCAAATAATAGTGGATTCATTCAAACTGGGCTAGACCCCGTGCTTTTCCCCCCTTTTCAGGAGTTTCCCACGTAAAAATCTTCGTGACTTATAAATGTTACACCCTATCTCTTTACCTAAATGCATAGCGAATCTTCGTACAATACTAAGACGCAAAATTTTATATTTCTCTACCGCCGCGAATATACCAGGACACAACAATAATACATAACATTACTTAAACATTTAATCTTAAATTTGATGATATACAAAATTTTGTATTTGCTTTTTTTTTTATTTAATGAGAGATAATTCATTGCATTAATTATACAATACTGTGAATAACTTCTAAAATCTCTTATTTATTTATTTATTCATAAAATTTTTATATTTTTTTTCTAATATAAATACCGGACCACCCTTCCACAAACTTCAAAAAGTTTATATAATAATAATTGGCCACCGCAGCCAACTTCACTTATTATTCTACTTCACTTCTTGTTGCGGTTCTGCGGGGTACTGCAATGAGGTAGAGAGAGAATGGGGGGAGTGACCTCATCAATGGCGGCGAAGCTGGCCTTCTTCCCACCTAGCCCGCCTTCGTACGAGCTAGTCACGGAGCCGGTAACGGGGCTGACTACGCTTAGTCGGTTCCCACACCGAGAAAATGTGGAGGTGATGCAGTTACCCACGCGACGGGGAACAGAGATCGTTGCGATCTATATCCGCAACCCGATGGCCTCGTCGACGCTGCTCTACTCTCACGGAAACGCTACCGACCTCGGCCAGATGTACGAGCTTTTCATCGAACTCAGCATCCACCTCCGCCTCAACCTCATGGGGTACGCATCTCTGCTAATTTATAATGGGCATTCCAGCCTCTAGACAGTTATTCCAGTCATTACAGACATGGAGTGAATATTTGTCATGGTTTTGAATTTTGTATGGGGGCTCGGCTCAGTTGTTGTTGAGAATGGTTGCTTTGGTTCTTGTTTTCTTGCATTTTGGTGTATTGGGGGATCTTTTTATTTTTTGAAGGATGATAGCTCTGCTGTTGACACTTGGGAGGAGAAACGTCGGACATCGGACTTGTTTTTTAGTTATATTGTATCCAATTAATTAACCATTGCAGATCTCTTGTTGTTACTTTGTTTAAACGAAGTAATTGAGGGATTTGCAATGTTGTTACTCCATTCACTTCCTCTTTTTTCTCATCTACGGAGCAGTTTGAGTGGAACCAGTTTGAAGGACCTTAGTGTCGTAGGTTCTTAGAGAAATTATTCTAGTAATGACATCTGGAACACATCAAACATCACGAGACCGCTTATTTGATTTAGATCTGCAGCTGTAACTTTTCTCTACTTCCTTTTCTATTTAATTATTATTTTTTCTTATTTTGAAATAAATAGGCTGCTTTTCCTTTTTTTTAGTTGGTGATAATTGGAGGAATTTTGGGTGGTTGAGCGGGGCGTTGCGAACTGTTGTATTCTTATCTTTCGATTTCTGCATGTGATTTGGTGTGGTGTCTCTATCGTTGTAGCTTCCAAATGTACTTGTTTGGAGCCAAGCTTTTGTAGGACTTTCCAGCGGGAGATGGGCATGTTCAATCAATCTTGAACTTTGCTTCTAATAACATACATCAGCTTCCTTATTTTGTATTTACTCATTTGGGCTCTAACCATTATGTCATTATTCATTATAGGTGTTAATGCATTTTCCTTTCTTATATGATTTTGTATTCATAAATAGCTAAGGTCCTAATAGAAGATGTGACCTTTTCCCCGAATTATTATTCCCTATATCTAGAAGAGCCACCCAATTAAATCAAGTTTTTCTTCCCTCCCATGGCCGGCTCCTCCTCCACCATTTCCTCCAATCACAATGCTTACGTCATCCTCAACCCATTTGGTATATCTTAATTCCTCATTGTCATCGCATTAATACGCAAATCAAACTTACCGCCTCAAACTGCTTTTCATGTTGATTCCAGTTCTATACCACTCACATTGAGTATAATTATCGATGGATCCTATCCTGTCAAAATCTTATACACTAATTACAGTTTCATACAAAATCCTAACTACTCATATTATGGATCCATCATGATCAATTTATCTTCAATGTCGTTGCCCGTTCTATCTCTCCAAATCTAACCCCATTCATTGCTTTGTCATGCACACCGTAAGAGGCTTAGCATACTTTTGCCAATATCTATGCCAAACTATCTTGAGGGTGTCTCACCCAACTATAAGAAGATCATCATCTTCTTACCAAGGAAATGGAAGCAATCACCAAGTACTTGCAACTTTTCATAGTTATTTCCAATGAATTTGTGACGTTGGCAGGGGGGGTTCATTCCCCCTGTGGCCCTTCATTTCCTCTGCTTGGCCGAGTTCATCCTCTCCTCTTTTTGGCCTTTCGGTTCTCTCTCAGTTCGGTTCTTTCCCCCTTGTGTTGGCTGTTCGTTGGCTGTGTCCTGCTGGCCCCTTTAGGTGCTGCTCCAGCCATGGCCTGTTGGTCTTTTGCCTCCCTTTGCTGATTGGTTCCCTAGGCGGCTGTTTTGGGTTGTTTGGCTCCCTATTTTCACCTATAAATATAGGTTGTTTTGTGGCATTTTAGAGAGTATTATGAATTGATTTTTGGAAAGAAAACCAAAGGGTTTTTGGATAGCTTGTGAGCTAGGCCTCTTCGTCTTCTCCTTCTTCTATAACTTCGTCTCGGACTTCTTACCTATTTTTTCTCTCCGCAAATGACCACCTCATTTGTATATTTCTTCTCAATCAAGGTAAAGCTGTTTTAGGTGTTTTTATGTTCTCAATATATGAGTTGTAAGGTGTCTTGTAATGTGTTGTCCCTTGTTGTGTGTTAGGTATTTTGTCTATTTAGCGTGTAGTTTCTTATTTTGGAAAGGAAGACTATTTTGTTTGCAATCTTAAATTTTTCCAAATTTTTTGATTGCATCAATTTGGTATAAGAGCTTAGGTTTTTGTCGAGTCTTTAGGTCAAATTCAAGCAAGAAAGAGAGAAAATCCAAAGAAAGTATGCAGTTTTAATTTTTCAAAACTGGATAAGAATCATTTGATGTGTAAGGAAAGTCCATATTCAACTCATCAGGAGACGAGCTCTTTCAACCGGAGGAGAATTTGATGTAAGCAGCGGGGGGGGGAGGCGATTAATTCCCCCTGTGGCCCTTCGTTTCCTTTGCTTGGCTGGGTTCATCCTCTCCTCTGTTTGGCCTTTCGGTTCTCTCACAGTTTGGTTCTTTTCCCCTTGCGCTGGCTGTTCGTTGGATGTCCTGCTGGCCCCTTCGGTTGTGGCCCTTCGTTTCCTTTGCTTGGTCGGGTTCATCCTCTCCTCTGTTTGGCCTTTAGATTCTCTCCAAGTTCGGTTCTTTCCCCCTTGTGATGTCTGTTTGTTGGCCGTGTCCTGCTGGCCCCTTCGGGTGCTGCTCCAGCCGTGGCCTGTTGGCCTTCTGCCTCCCTTTGCTGATTGGTTCCCTAGGCGGCTGTTTTGGGCTGTTTGGCTCCCTCTTTTCACCTATAAATATAGGTTGTTTTGTGGCATTTTAGAGAGTGTTATGGAGTGATTTTTGGAAAGAAAACCTAAGGGTTTTTGGATAATTTGCGAGCTATGCCTCTTCGTCTTCTCCTTCTTCTATAACTTCATATCGGGCTTCTTATCTATTTCTTCTCTCCGCAAGTGACCACCCCATTTTAAGTGTTTTTTTGTTCTAAATATATGAGTTGTAAGGTGTCGTTGTAATGTGTTGTCCTTATTATTTGTTAGGTATTTTGTCTATTTAGTGTTTATTTTCTTATTTTGGAAAGAAAGACTATTTTTTTGCAATCTTAGATCTTTCTAAATTTTTGATTGCATCAATTTGCCATGCTCGACTATTCAATCTTACTAAGCCTTGATGAATAATACAAGGATCTATGCTCAATTGTGCATGTATGTTTGAGAGTCCCATCATTTTTTAGGAACAACATAAAAAGCTTATAAATATAGTGGTCTATTTCAAATTTGAAGCAAGAAAGAAGCAAGCTTCTCTCACATGTTTGATATCGCCGATCTTGCTAAAAAACCAGTCAAATATTCATCCTTCAAAAACATATCTAGTTACAAAAATAGTAGCTCCTACATCCAAAAAATACTCCAAATTTGTCACCAAACTAGCCAAAACCAAGCTTGTCCCTATGTTGGCAATTGTCAACTTTGCCAACAACAGGGTACTCACCATAATGGTGTCCGAACTTTACCTACACATCTACATGTTCACAATAACTTGAAACAAACACACCCTTCTCTCTTTATGCTCTATTGAAACAATCTATGCATACCCTTTCTGATGCATTGATCAAGCCCCTTTCTAGTCATTGCCTTGATTGGCTCCATATCAACTTTGGTGCATTCTCCTGGGAATCCATCTTGAGGGACATATTAGAGAAAAAAATAAACCACCTTCCTTATTTTGTATTACTTATTTAGGCTCTCCACATTAAGTTTCTATTCATTATAGGGGTTAATACTATAAGACTTCAAGAGTTCTTAAATTTCCTATAAGAACATAATCACATATAAGATTCAAGTTCTCGAATTCTTACAAGAACTTTATTTAAGATTAAGTTCTCTAACTTTTACAAGAACTCGCATCATAAATTATGTAAAATAAATTATGTAAAAGAAATCGAAAAAAGAAGAAGAATTTACATAAGTCTTAAATCCACAAGACCTTAAACACGATCATTTTCACAAGATTTTAATCGGAAGAAAAATATACCTTGATTCATGTTGAGTTTATTAAATTCCGAACTACGGTTTCTCTCCTTTTTTCCTTTCACTTTCTTCTTTCATGAGTTAATTCTCTATAGCACAAACTAACTCCTTATCATTAGAGAGAGAGGACCGGTAGTTATTTCCTACGGATTAATTATAATAACTGCTCATAAGAGTTATTTTTATTGGGGGTAGCAATAGGAGCCCGCACGCTGTGAAGGTAACTTTCTCCCCTTCGTGAGCTTGTTCGGCCAAATTCCACATAAATCATGTTGCCGAACAAGTCCTTAGGGCAAAAAAAAAGAGAAGGAAACAAATGGTTTATACTATATTATGCTCATATCATGTATAATCTTGTGTCTAAGCAGCCTGATTGCAATTAATTACTAATTAATTATAATTAATTAGTGATTAATTTTAACTAATTTTAGTTAATAAGTATTAATTATAAATCAATAATTATAATTAAGTACAATTAATCTTAATTAATTGTAATTAATTAATTATTAAATGATAATTAATCATTATTAATTCTAATTAACCCTTATTAGTTCTAATTAATTATAATTATTTATCAAAATTAATTATAATTATAAAATAAAGAAGAAAAAAGAAACATGCAAGGATGCTTGCTCTTCTTTTGGCTTGATCCACGTGTCAACCCCGTTGGCACTGCTCCTCACAAAGGTATAAACTCTTAAACCTTAAAACCTCGAGAGCCTATTTTCAGAGTTCGCGACACACTGAAAAATCGCCTATACACGTCTTTATTGCGCGTGGTGGGATGGGACCCGGTGCGACGCCTATGACGAGGCGAGTAATCATCTAAAAGCCTTACTTCGGCGTTCGAGGCGCATCGAAAAATCGCTATACATGTCTTTATTACGCGTGGTGGGATGAGACCCCGATGCGACGCCTACGGCGAGGCGTGGTCACTTATAAGTGCCTTTGAGCTGGGGAAAATTCAACTGTGTTTTAAAACAGATACCCTCGAAGACCCCATACACGTCTTTATTGCATGTGGTGGGAAAGAAGACATGACCGCGGTGTCCTTCTAAGGACACCT